CAAGTAGTTCATTAGGACTTTTAAAAATTCTTCTGTTATGAATTTGATTTGAAACTTACTACAAAAATACAAAATATTTAATTAACGATCCAATAATGTTTTCGTCTTAATGCATAAAATTTTTGATAATAAAAATCTATTAAAATAGCGTTCTTGTTTTGATCAGTAATCTGAACATTTTAAGTGTTTTATGAAACTTAAGTAATTTTCCAAAAGTACATCATTTTATGAGCTTTTATGGTGATTGTTTTCAAAAACATGTTTTTTAGGAAGCATCCTAACGGTTGTCATATCTATATTCGATATAATTGTATTATCAGAATTTTTCTAGTAATACTGATATATTTTTAATTTGGTGCTACACTGCCAGGGAAGGACTTTTTTCACTCGGAAAGATATTTTAGTTCTATATTTTCAAGCGAAACCAAATATCAGCACTGCTTCACATTAGGCTGTTCGAGGTTGGTGTCGTACTTGGAACTTTCGGTAGCAAGAATCAGAGCTTTTACTACAGCACCATAAAAACACTAAAATATTATATTATTAAATAGCCATACCTAATCTTCTGGTAATTGACGTTGAATCACACCTTAATGCAATTTTTCGTTCAATATTCAAATAATCAATAAAATAAAATATAAAGTGAATAAAACATGGAACTTGCAGATCATGAATTTTTCAGTTGTATCTCCACTTTTTCACATACAAAATACAGAATGGTTAAATTATTCTGGACTCGACCTGAATTCAACCAGTAGATATTGCAATTCAATCTAATGCATACAGTTAGAAAATACTCAGTAGTTCTGCGCACGTATCTTCTCGAAAATGATGCAGAAATTCTGGTTTGAGTTTGGTATCACGTTATTTATGCAATGGTTGTTGTACTTTTTACCAGAAACGTCGGTTTTGGTGAATTTATTTCAAACTGATTTTTTTTCAGCATAATTTCATATAATGTGTAAGATATTAAAAATTTAATGGACACCTGAATTAAATACTTAGAAATACTTTAACTTCCCAAAGAAGTTATGCTTTTCCAGAAAATCCAATTTTCTTATTTTATGATTTTTCTTCGTTGCGACTCAGTCTGAATCGATTTACCCTATACTGAAAAAATATATGTGTGTATGAGTATATATGTGTGTATATGATATTTCTATATAATTTAAAAATTTTAAGATACATCCAATTTTCAAATGAATTTTATAAAAATTATTAAAAAAAACAAACAAAAATTTGTGTAATGACATTTTATGATTTTACGTAAGGTAAATAATTATATTGTAAAAACAAATCAATTATATCACAACAATAACACATATCAAACAAACAACTATCTGACTATGTTCAGTAAAACCGAACTAATTCATCATTCTAAAAATGTGTTTTTTCAGATGTTTTTCAAAAATTTGCCGCCTGATCCTTCTTACCCTATAGGCGCAGTAAAATGTGATAACCAGGGAGCAAACAAATCCATTGTCTTATTTTTAATTTCAAAGGAATTTTACGAAATAATAGCTACATTCAACCAATCCAAAGTATAAACTTCCTAGGCACATTTTTTTACAGAGATTATAACCTCGTTCTGGTCAGAAATATTTATTAACAGCGTTGAAATAAATATTACTTTATCTCTTATAAAGATGCTATTTTTAACTAGATTCCTTATTTTATTTGCCATTTTTTATTTTTTGCATTTTTGCCAGGTTAAGATTCAGTTGGTCCTTTTTACCCCATTCACATCAGAGCTGGACATTGTATAAAAACAGTTAAATCTAAATAAAAAATAAAAATTCAGCTTTTAAACAATTGAATAATGTATACTTAAGGATTATATTAAAATTTTCGTAAACTAAACAACAGTGCTCACGACCACAAGAACAGCAACGTAAGAAAATACTTTTGTTATGGGTTTTCAAACATTGCTGTTTATCTCCTGATACCAACGTCGTAAAAACCAAGGCGATGACTGATAATATATCTTTTTTCCTCTACTTTCAAATATTGTTGTTAAAAACTCTGAACTTTTCTTGTTTTTGTGATATCGGTGGTGGATCTTTTTACGCACAAACCTTCAAGTCCCGCTCAAACCTACCTACACAATAATTTACTGAGAGCTATTTACAAAAAAAAAACTTATTTTAACCATTAATAACTTTCGTAATAAAATATGAGTGAGAATAATTTTTTTAAATTTTCTATATATTTCGAAAATATTTTTTTTTTAATTTTTGTTCCCATTCGCACGATTCTGTAGCTTAAACATTCTAGATTTCAAAGACACCAAAACTGCAGCAAAATATTTGCAGCTAATGGCAAAATTATCGGATAGATCAATATTTTGAATTTGAAACTTGCAAGAGAAAAACAGTTCCTACAAACAATACAATACTTGGTTAAAGAGCTAATAACAATAGATCTGAAAAGAAATAAAAAAATAAAGAAATGTCAAAAGTGTATTTGCAAAAATTGCAATTGTTGTAGTACACTTTACTACCACCAAAATCAAAGAATTCATTTAACAAACCCAAATAAAAATGTTAAGCATTTGCCAAAATTCAAAAAAAGTACTATAATCATTTGTATCACTTGTAAGATGAAGAGAACGATGAGTTTTCTTGTATATTAATTTAGCAGTTCAGCATCAAAACATAGTACTACAATCAAATTATGTTTCTGTTGCATTTAAGTTATGTACCTTCCAAGGCTCTTTGTTCAAAATGCAAGTTATCTCAATCATAAAGTTTACAGCGCTCCATGAAAAGGAAACGTTTAGTACTTACTCCACGATAAAAGCCACGCAAGAAAAGTCATTGCAGGTTTTCCGGAATAAAACGATCACGCGAATGTATGCACAACGATTCAGGTTCTGAATGTAATGTTGAAACAACCACGTTTTTTCAATAAGTATATTAAAATAATTGAGATAATAAATAAAAATTTAGTTGCAGTAAATAGATTAAGAATCTATTTTAAATATTATCATAAAAAATTATTTCGGTGGTTAATTATAAGCGATTTGGTCATGTTGTTTTCATTCACAACTAATCAATGGTAACAAACATAATTTACTAAATATTTTGAAATTGTCAGTAATGTCTGCAACCAAATCATCCACAACGACATGAAAATGGATAATGAAAGCAAAATGATTAAAAAAGTCAGAAATAATACTGCCTAAGGATTACTCAATACTCAAAAATTCTAGCATGCAACAGATTGTAAATCCCGGCTAGAATATTAAGAAAATTAAATATTTTAAATTAACTAGCTGTACCCGTTACCCGTACCCGTTAAATTAAAAAGTTTAAAAAAAGTGTATTTGTTACATTTATTTTAACGTTACTACCATCTGTTCAGCAATTTACCTATTCAACCATTTGTCTACGAACTTATCTATCAACTTGTTAATCAATCTACTATTTTACCGGCTTACCAATTACCTGTCAACCTATTTACCTATCGACCTACTTATATACACCATTTTACCGTCAACCATTTACCTGTCATCCCGTTCTAAATGTCTAACCAATTAATCTGTTCAATATTTACCTGTTTTAACAATTTGTCTACTAATTTACCTATCAA